AATATCTTATTTTAAAAGTGAGAGATTTAACTGTGAAGAAATGACAATTTAATAGCTTTTCGAGCGTCATTGAAATGCTTAACATGATTAACAGATTCGCAGTGGAATAATTTCTGCTGATGATTAATTTACATATAGTATCAGCTGTGATTAAAACTGTAAACAGTTAACTTAGCTGAACTAAAACGATTAATAAAGTTCAATAGCAGATATGGCTGTGTGTGTGCGAGTGTGTGTGTGTGTGTGTGTGTGTGTGTGTGTGTTTGTGTTTGTGGAACCGCCTAGAATTTCACAATTTGCAATTTTGATATCAGCATATTTGAGTCCATTTCTAATCTTATTTGTGGCTCCGTTATAAAAATAGATTTCACGACGCGTTCTTTTTTTTTGTTTGCTATTCCACTTGCCCCCCGTTTGTGCTACATTTTACTAAACAGTTGTGCAGCAATTTAATTGTGGGCTTTACGAGTCCCACGCACTTTGCCGCATTCCTCGCATTGTTCGCGGAGTCTCACGTGGGACTTGGCTGCAATTCCGATTCCGTCTGTTGCAGCAGCAGCTGTAAACGTAACTGGATTTCGGGCCCGGACCCAACCCCAGCCCCCGCCCCTTTCCGTTCCGTTCCGCCCGTTTGCATACACATACATACATTTGTTTGCCTTTTTATTTTTCTTTTAATTAAATGTGCAAGCAGCTGCAGAAATTGGCAGCCGCTAAAAAAATAAAAATAAAAATAAAAATGTAGCTCATGCATTTTTATTTTTTTTTTTCTATTTTTTTTTTTTTACATTTTTGCTCAGCAATATTTGATTGTGTTTGGCATTATTACAAATTCCAAGCGGCAGAGCAGAGAATATTGCGTTTAATATTAAGTAAATATTTTGCTATTTATGTTATGTACAGAAAGAATGAAAATATAAATACATATAACAACAATAATAAGAACAACAACAATAACGGGAGCAGCCGCCATAAAGTCGAGCACTTTAATTACGCAATCAACAGGCGCATATGCAAAAAAAAATTGCTGCTGTTGTTGTTGTTATTGTTGTTGTCTCTTTCTTTTTTGTTGTTATTGCTGTCGCTTTACGTTTCATTTCATTTGGATTTTTGTGCTGCCTCGCATATTTCATTTGCTGCGGCTGCTTTGCGCTTGTCATACGTCACAGCATGCCGATTAAATTGAGCGGACAGATAGAGAGAGAGAGAGGGAGAGAGAGTGACCGCAACAGCATGTAAATGAAATTGAAATCAACCGTCGACTACGCCAGCTGCAGTGCTGCCGCTGCCGCTGCCGCTGCCTCTGCCTCTGCTTCTCCTGCCTCTGTTCTGCCGACCCTCTGTTATTGTTTTAGCAGATTTTTAATATGTTTGTTTTAACTGCGACTCTCGAGTGGATTTGCACCCGCACTCGGTCAGTTGGTTAAATGGCATTTAAAGCGATTTTCAGAGCTGAACTTTTGTGGGCGGACAGGGGGCGGGGTGTTTAAATGCGTGACTCATGACAAAGCAGCAGCAGCGACTGCGACTGCGACTGCAGTGTGTCAGCAGCGTTTACTTGCAACTATGTAAATACACTTACATATACCAGTATGCCATGCAATTCACATTAAGAATGTTAAGTGGAATTAACAGAGCTGTTAATAATATCTATGACTGCATCTCCATGTGCATTGAGTCACGCATGAGCCATATTTATTTAATTAGTCATTGCTTAGATAAAGTGTACACACATAGTTTACTTTATCTGCGCACCTCTCGATGACAGGGTATACCCAAGGCAAAGCGAAAAAAAAAACAAAATACAAGCCGAAAAGAGCCTGCATGCAAATTAAAGCAGCGACCAGGCACACAGCATTTATGGCAGGCGACTGAGCAAGGCAGCTGGCTGCTGCTGCTGCGCTGCTGCTGCGGGCCACGGCGCAATGCAGAAGCAAACAGCAAGGAAACAGGCGAACACGAGAAGAACAAGAACTTGTTAACGCAGGTAGCATAAAACGCGACCGCGATTTGCGCACGCATCATTCAACGAATGAGAAGTCGAATAAGAAGAGGAAGCAGCCGCTGCTTTGGCCTCTGCTGCTGCGGCTGCCTTACCACCTGCCGCACTTGTTTATGGCCGCCGACTTGTTGGCGTCTCTCGCCGCAAATGGACACCGGGACAGTCCAACGAAAGCGGAAACATGCGCATCAAAGCACACAAACACACACACACACACACAAATGAGCTTACATAGCATAAGAAGACAACAACAACAACAACAACAGCAGCAGCAGCATGGGAGAGGCTTTAAAGAGCGGCGACTATAACATGACTGGATATTGGCAAAGCCGTCGACGTTGCCGTCGTCATCAGCAGCAGCAGCTCATGCGCTTTGCTCTGGGGCCTCATTTCTTTTGCTTCAGTTTCAAACTGGTTACGTCGCAACCAGTTTAAATTCGAGTGAGTGTATGAGTGTTAGACTGTGTGAGTGAGTGTGTGTGTGTGTGTGCGAGTGTGAACGTGTGCTGGGGAAGCCGCTTATTGTTACGTTCTTTTCGCTGCTGCTTCTTCTACATATTCGGCCTTTGCTAATTGTCGCCGCAAATGTTAAAAAAAAAAACAAACAATTAGCATGGCTGTGTGTGTGTGTGTGTGTGAGAGCATGAGCTCAGCTTTGCGCTGCATATGGATATGTGACGTCACGAACGCAATTATTGCGTGCGCTTCAAAATAGAGATAAACTAACTGAGCGAATGTATGTAAATATGTATGCTTAATGGCCATTTATTTGCAGGGCAACTTTAATTCGCTTAAGCTCGCTCCACTAACTGCCGAAGCGTGGCATACTTTGAGGCGTTGCCGGCAATTTTTTTAAAGTTGCGGCTTATCAGCGACGGCGTCCAAAGTGCAGCTCAATGCGATTAAAGTGCGAGTGCCAGTATGCATGTGTGTGTGTGTGTGAGTGTGAGTGTGAATACTAGTACAGGCATTCATGAGTGCTTTACAACTGGAAGCTAACGGCGCAAGACAATAATTCAGTTTGTGTTCGCTGATAAGCGGCGCATTAATCGCGCTGTATTTTGTAATTACGCGCGTTTCTACACACAAACACACGCACACACACACAGATATTGCTTATCACAAACATTGTGCAAAAGGCAAACTGCGCAGGCAACACAGAGCCAAGCCAATCAAGCGAAATGATGCGACCCGGCCCAAGATTCGAGAATGAGGCAGTGGAATGTGCCAAAAAAGATGATGAACAACATTCAAAAGTGCGTCATTCGCATTGACTGGGCCACCTTCTATCCCCTACCCCCTCCCTCCCCCCGTCCATCACCGTCTCCACCTTCATAAAAATATTATGAATACCCTATAGACTATATAAAATGCTCGCCTAGTCGACTCAAGCTGTTTATCATTTTGTCTGTGTTGATTTATTTTTAGTTTTTCCATACCCCAGCAGCGGCGGGTATTATCATTTTGTCATCCAATATGTAACACATGGGAGATAATTCTTAGATATATATGTGTATATATTCTATCTAATACCTATGCCAAGATTTCTGTCAATTTTAGAGTTATTTTCATTTTAATTGGAATTATCGTAATTTCCCGTATTGAACAACTATATAATTTAGTTTTAGTCAGTCGGATATTTAATTTACATATAGTTCTTTACATTATTCAGAAAACTTAGGATTTACGAGTCTGAAATAGCCATACTCTGAGATATTATTATATGTCAAAAATCTTGTCAATATCGTGCCCCTATATCATATAATTAGCACACGATCTAATGCCAAGAAACTTGCAATAGTTGAAGAAGATGAAGATGAAATATCTATATATATTTATACGACATAATAATGTATAATACTTAAAGGATATTTAACTAACATGGGAATAATCGAGCTATAATAATGTTTGGCTATACTGAGGCCAAAAACATGGAACAGTTAAACGTTACGCCAGAAGAAGAAGATAAAAGATCGAAGATAAAATATCCTTGAAGATATAGTATAGTACCATATAAAATTTGGGTTGAAGGGTTTTTAAGTAGATAGAGATATATTATTATACTCAAAACTTGAAAAAGTTCAAAGTTCTTCGAGCAGATGATGAATAATCCTACAAGATATTATAGAGCTATTAAATAAGTGCAAAATATTGCCAAAATGAAAAATATAGAAACATAAATTACGACTTGAAGGGTATTCAATCGTCGGCTAGACAATGTTTAACTGCTTTTCTTTGTTGGCATTATTGGGAATTTCGCCACAAATTGCGAGCGCCGCGTTTATATTTATTTATAGAACATTTAAGATTCGTCTATGCGTTTGCTGCTGCTCGTTTGGCGCAGACAGAAAAAGTTTGTTTCGCAGAAATTCAAATACAAGTGTACGCATACTTATGCAGCTGACGGTGACTGTGACTGTGACTGTGACTGTGACTGTGACTGTGTTGTGCGGGGCACAAGGCACACGTTTAAAATTAGCAAACAGCGCAAAAATTCGCCTGTAAACATTTCACAAAATCGAGAAACAAGCTAAATACACTGGCATGAACATAGATATAGTTAGATATATATACATATATATATATATAGTATAGCTAGATCTGTTCGTATATTGCTTTGCCCATGGAAAAATGGCAACACTTTTCCCAGTCAATTTTCTTTTGCCCCTCTTGTTGTTATTACTCTATTGAGCGTAAGTATGTGTGTGGGTGTGTGTGTGGCCGCCATACACACACCAACACACACACACACCAACACACACACACACTTGACGTCACTGAGTGAAATGTCAGTGTCAGTGCGTGGGGGCCTCGACATTTAGTATAAATAATAGATTAAATAGATTTTCTTTGGCTTCGGGCAAGCGAAATACGCGTATTGAATACCATTCGAATAGCTCGTAAATAAATCAAAATAAATGAATACAAGTGCGAATAATAGGAATTTTCCTAAATAAATTGTTATATTAATTTCAATTTCACCCGTTCTCTCTTGCAGAATCCACCGTGAATTCGCGTAAAAGTAATTTGGAAACGTCGCGCGACAAACTCAAGGGTAAGTTGGCGAATTTCCCCATCGCCTAGGCTATTGACATATATACATATATATATATATATATATATGCCTTATCATCTGTTGCGTGATTGATTTATATCATTGTCAAGTTGTCGCTATCACTGACGACCATCGCAGATAATGTCAGACACTTGTTGAAACCCGCCTGAATCATCAGCTGGGAGCTCAGCTGTCGTATGTCTATATATTTTACGTTTTTCCTGACTGTTTGATTGATTGATTGACTGACTGATTGATGAGCGATGCACAGCGCAAGGTGTCAAAGCTGGCAAGCTCAACTTTTTACGAATGTTGCCTTTTGTGATGCAAGTGAAAACTACATAGGAAATCCACCTGTATGGGTGAAAATGCGAATTAAACTTTGTTTTTTTTTATTTTTAACTCATTCGCCACAAACTCTATTCTAAGGATCTTGGTGAAATTTTATTGGAGACGCTTTTCACACTTTTCGGCAAATCCACGCCGTCGGAAAACAATACACAGAAGTTTTGTTTCGAATTTTCACCCCTGTAGGTGGAATTGGCAAAAAAGTCTTATAAAGCTCTACACAAAAATCGAATAAAACCGTATTTCGAAAGGAAAACGAAAAGAAACTAATTTCAAATTGCATTATAAAGCATTTTGCTTAATATTCGCTCGTTAGCCCATTTGAAAAGCACAAAGAAATTGAAACACGCATCGAGCACACTTAACTTAGCTTTGGATAGTCACGACGCCTCTAGAGAGCCGTACTACATGCAACTACATACATGTATCTACAGATATGTATATATATATATATATGTATTCATGTACATTTATAAAGTTAACCTTCGTGTAGGTTCTGTCGATTTGTCTGTCTGTCTGTTTGGGGTTTTGTTGTCTTTTCGTGTTATCAGTCGCAACGAAATTGAGAATTCACCCCCAAACCAAAAAATGTTGTGTGAGTGTGCCCCCTCGCTCCCCCGTCTCTGGGGTCTTCCGCTGTGCCAGTTATTTAATGGGTAATGCCGTTTAATACAGTTATTATGGGGCCCGACAAGCCACAGGCAATTACACATATAGACGAGCGACCATTTATACGCCATATATATACTATATATATGTCAATGCTCGGCAATATTGATAAAAAAAAAAGTACATGTGTGTGTGCGTGAGCATAAAATAGAAGTCGTCGCTTTGGTTGATAAAAACCGAATGGCGTGATTCATGATAGAAGTACACACACACACACGCACAACAAATAAGTTGTTGCTTGTGGAAGGAAAAAACAAAAAAAAGAGTCATATAAACAAGACTTCCAAAGAATTTAATACGTTTCTGGCCGCGTATCAACAAGAGATTATGCCATAAGCATGCCACACTCTATATGCTCCCAGCTATACATACAAATATATATATATGTATATATATGTGTACATATTTACGAACCTTTTATTGGCCCGACTGTTATTTATTTATATTTTTTGCCAGCTGCGTTTGCCATTTCACTTTCATTATCAAATTAGCTGATAGCCGGCTACGTGACGTAGATATGATATGGTGCTCAGCGATTTTATAAGCCCACATACATACACACATACATACGCACATACGCACATACACACATACATGCACATATATAGCTTATATAGCTTATGTGGGCACGGGGCAATTCAATTGAAATTGGCCCAAGAGGGCAACAGTCGCACCTGTGATAAAGTTCAATAATTAAAATACAAATTTGTCCGAATAGAAAATCAAATTTAGTTGGAAATATATTTCGTATAGATTTTCGGGGAAAATCTGCAAAACTAATTGTATTGCACTGTAAAATAAAAATAAAACTCTTCAGCTTGAAATTTCGGAAAATCAATAAATATTTAAATAGCAAAAATTGAAAAAGTTAACAACTTTAAGCCCAGTTAAATTAGGTGGCAAAAAACGAGCGACATCAGGTTTGATGCTAAGTAAAGACTTTTTATACCCTGAACCCATTGAAAATGGCTAAAAAGGGTATAATGTATTTGTGCAAATGTATGTAACAGGCAGAAGGAAGCATCTCTGACCCCATAAAGTAAATATATTCTTGATCAGCATCATTAGCCGAGTCGATCTAGCCATGTCCGTCTGTCCGTCCGTCCGTCTGTCTGTCTGTCCGTCCGTCTGTCCGTCCGTCCGTATGTATGAACGCAAGGATCTCAGAACATATAAGAGCTAGAGACTTGAAATTTTAGCTGTAGGTCCTCCTAGTCCCCGCGCAGATCGAGTTTGTTTCCGATATTCGATAACTTGCCCCGTTTCCAAGTTATCGATAAATAATATGAGATAGAGTCACCAAACTTGTTCAATTTGTTAAATATACAAATTTCTTTTATTTAGTTTGCTTTGAGAGCAATAAAATGTACTTTTTATCCTACTCCAACTATTTTCACACTAAACTTTTCTGTTTAATTAATTTAAATTATATAAACTGTCCAAATTGTATATTTATATAAAATCATTATTTGTTATAGTGTAAAAGCTGACTCTTACTTAATTTACACTTTAATCCACATAAAGCTCAGTATCAGGAACAAATACGATGTCCAGCAAACATTTTTATAAACAATTTTAAATATGTAAAATGTGATGCTACTAAAGAAAGTTAAATTCATTTAGTTTATTAGTTAATGGCAATTAAATGCTCATTTTTTTATATACTGACAATTTTCACCAATTAAAATAAACTCTTTATTCTATGCCAATTATTTTCACGCTCAAGAACTTGCCTAATTTGCTGTTTAATTTATTGAATTTATCCAAACTGTCTAATTATTTAATAACAAACCAGATTTGTTTTGCTGTGTAGCAGCATTTGCTGTACACACATATTTCGTAAATTGATTTAATTATTGTTTACAAGCTGTTGTTCCGAGAACACTTCAAATCTAATTAGGATGAGCGTTTGCTTAAGGTGCAAGGATATTCGATTGCAATAACATTTGTGCGTTAAGCCCACGCACTCGAGCTGGAAGCATGGCCAATGACATGGCCGGGGTTTTCCGCAGAAGCAATTGAGGACCTCGGCGGGCTACCTGCCAGCCAGTCGAGGACCTGCCAGGCCAGACCAGGACCTGCCAGGCCAGTCGAGGACCTGCCAGGCCAGGACCTGCGCTAAGCCAACGCTTAATAGCCAGGCTGCCTGACAGCTCGGCTCGGTTCCTGCTTTGCAGTCAAGTGGCTTTAGTTTTCCCTTTTTCCCTTTGGCCATTTTCCCATTTTCCTGCGCCCAAATGTCAAGTATCTAGTATGGCGCTTAGCTGCGCGTTTCTATTGATGATTTTATGGGTTTTACCCGCTAAATCTGTCAGTTTAATGATGCCAACCAGTCTGAAACCGTTGTTGCAGTTGCCGTTGCAGTTGCAGGTAGAACGCAGCGCAAATCCATTGACGCAAGTCATTAAGCTGTCTCGCTGCTGTCTGGGGCAACGCGAAAGTATCTGATAGCATGCGGCAACAGCTGCCACAATGCAAATACGCTCGGCGCAAAGCTGCAGATACATTCAGAGCACAAACAGATACAGATACAACTATAGATACAGCTACAGATACGTTGCGAAGACAATCGGCGGCAGCTGAACATTCACAGCATATTTTCATTGGCGTCGCAAGTCTGCGATCGTCGAGCTGCTCGACTGCTTAATATAAAACCAAATTCATACAACAAGAAGTGGCAGGAATGTGTGTGCGTGTGTGTGTGTGTGTGCGTGTAAAAGTATCTGCGTGCCTCGCAGCTATGGCACCTCGCAAAGCTCTTTCACAGTCGCCCAACTGGCGATTCCCAATCAACAGCCGCAGCGGCCAAGGCGAGTCCACATCACACATAACCCAACAAACACAGTCACACACACACTCACACACTCACACACACACTCGCACACACACACAACAACATGACACAATGAACTCATGCGCTGCGCTGATGCCTGGCCGCAACAACAATCTGACAGAGACACCGAACTATAGAGTGCCAGAGAATTATAATCGAGCAATAGACAACAGTGCGACGCCAGGGCAAATACACACAAAGACACACACACACACACACACTTAACACACACACACACACACTAAACACACTCACGCCCAGGGAGGCCAGCACATGGTAAATGTGTTTTAGATTCTTAATTTTGCGCATTTTCTGACACCCAGAACCCAGCAGCATGAAATATAACGCATTGCGAATACAACAAATCAATCAATCAATCTGATTGACACAATCATACATACACCTTGAAGCTGTATGTGAGACAGTATTTAACTTTTATGAAGTCAGTGAAGAGTTAAATATGCGAATGCAGCAAATCAATCACGTTTTCAATCTGATTGACGAGCTCGACTGATTGATGAACAACGTACAGCTCAAGCCTTAAGAGTTGGGAAGCTGTATTTCACACAGTGTTTAACTTTTATGATGTCTGTGGGGAGTTCAACGACGCTTTGACTAACCCCGCCTTGCTGATTGACAGACAGACTGATTGAAGAGCTATGCACAACCGGGACCGTGAATGCTAGAAAGATGAATTTTCCACAGTAGTTATCTTCTGTGCTGCAAATGAAAAATTAGCAGGGGTTTTGAAATATTCCTACCATAAGAATAGTAAAATTGAGCAAAACTTTTTGGCTGTACATGCCATTCACAAATTCGAATACGCAATACATCGATTTCGGAAAATGGGCGGAAAACTACGTTTGAATTAAATCAACTAATACCTGCTGTTAAATAATAAAATATGGTACGTATATTTTAACACTAACTCTAACATTTGCCAGCGACTGAGTAGGAATGTTGTTTTCAGTACGTTTTTCACGCCGTCACAAAACGCTATGTGTGTCAGTCTGTTCGACTGTTTGTCTGTCAGAGTGCGAATGATCGAAAAATCTTGTTGCTATTGGCAGTCGAGCACGGTCCCAGCCACAGTCCCAGCCCCGGTCGCAGTCGCAGAGTCAGCTGCCAAAGTTAAATCGCCATGACTGTA